TAAGGAAAGACAGATGGAAGGACAACAGTGGGAATTTATAGGTCTACAATTTTTTTAAATTGCTGCCAAATAAAAAAAAGCTCATTTGCAATTGTGTTTTATTCAAATGCTGTTTACTAAAAGCTTTTATTAGAGATTATAAATTAAATTAAACGTTCTTGTACATGTAAGCTAAAGTATATTTTAAGAGAATATTTTTAACTGGAAATTTATATGCAGTGCTCTGAAAAGTAACAGAATTTTGTTGCAATTGAGGTGCATCATTCCAAACTGTGCTATCCAATTGCTAATGTAAAGAACTATATAATAAAGTGTTTTTATCATTAAAAGCAGGCTTACAGCATAAAATTTAATGTAGAATATTAAATTTTATTTTAAACTGTGTTTTATTCACATTTTAAATTATTTCAAACCCATCCATCTTATTAATATCAATATCTTCTCAATTCTTTGTTGAAATTATAATTCTGTTGGCTAATATCTCATATTATATCCATTCTAAATGTTGGTTTATAAATAAATGTTAGTATTAAGCTTTAAAAGATTTTAATGAATACTGAAAATTAAGTGAAAATGGATAAGATGCACTTTGGAATAATATGTCCTAATTAAAATAGTAACTTTAGTAAATTAATGGAATACATCTCATAAATTGAACAAGATTGTCAATGTCAATCATTTGATTTATCAGTTTATTTGTTAAACTTTCTTATAACAGAATTCTGAGACTATGTATTATAATTACATTATATTCGCATTAATAAGTAAGCTTTTGAGCATGGTGACAAAAGACGTCAAAACTAATCGATATACAGATGCTCCTTGAATTACAATGTTTTGACATACCATATTTTGTGCATACAATGGCCAACACGAGAGAATGGAAAACTGTCCTCGCATTGGCCATCAACAGTGAAAACTGTTAAAAATTGAATTCAAGCAGCTCACGCCTTATAGCATCCCTAGTCTGGAAGCATGCTTCAGAAGAAAAAGATATTGTTAGCACTGTCACCATAGCATCTCCTTCATTCAGCAACTAATATTCCATCATCTCCTTTAATTTTTTTTTCTAGGATATTTTAATAAAATTTTATTGCATACTTTTCTGGTGGATGTGACACTATTTGAAAGATTATGAGAATGTATGTAATATTATTATAATATACTTTTGTACATTTTCTTTTGTTTCATTCATTCTTTGTTTCCTTATTCTGTATACTTTACAATCTAATATGCAATGTATAACCTTGCATATAGCCTTTTTTATTTACAGTATTTATTTTTCACTTATGTTCTGTTTTTCAGAACATAACCCCATCATAAGTCAAGGGTAGACTGCAAAGGAAGAAAGGGAACATCAATTGCAGCTCTCTCTTAATTAATTTAAGATGCAAAATACTTAACTCTCTCCACTGTTTCTGTATGGATGCTTTCACATCAAATAATGTTCAAAAAATATCAAACTCCTCAGAAGAAACACATGATAAAGTTGTCAATTCATTATTTTGATTTATAAAATTTAACTGTCCTGTTCTTATTCTTTTGTTACTTTATTGGTAACAATTGTCTTTAAGTATTAAAAAAAACTGTTTAACATTATATGAATTATCCTTTCAGCTTGAATTTAGAATTATAAAATTTTGCTATTGATTTATTTTTGACAATGCTTACACATTTGTGTTCAAAAATTTTGAGAAAATAATCTTAAAACACTATCTGGATAGCTTGTGTAACATTAAGAGTATTATTGACAATATATGACCATGATGGCCAAACTGTGCCTTGCAAACTCCATTCCAATCTTTTAGACCTTTATTGTGGCTCCCATATACTTTATACAGTTTCTTTTTATAGACTTGGGTGTGACTATGTAGATGCAAGCAATTGAGAGAGTGAGGTGAGAAGAGGTGATAATGTTTTATGCTCTCTGTTTCTAGCTCTCATTTATTACGACCACACAGATGAGAGCAAGAAACAGAGAGTGTAAAACGTCATCACCTCTTCTTGCCTCACATTCTTGCTTGCTTGCGTCTGCATAGTCACATCCTTAGTACATACTACTAACACATATATGATATTTTTGTGAGTATTCTGATTATTATATAGTGTAATATACACAGGGATTGTAAGTTTAACTCACAACTCAACCTAAAACAGTCAACTATTCATATAGTTAAAGGAGATAAATGATTGTTTACCTAGTCAGTTAGTCATAAAGTACTAATGGTATAGTAACAGTGATCTTTACTGTACACTAAATAATTTAATATTGATTTATAATTTTATGCATTAGTTTAAATGAAAATTTGATTATATGCTTTTGTATATTGTAATGAATTGTTTAGTTATTTACAATGTAATTAGTATGCATTACTGATATTATTCACTACCTCATGCTGTTTTATGTCATTAAGTTATCGTTATTTCTTTTTATGTTTCTTCCGGGAATACAATAAGCGAGAAAACAGAATAAAAAATGTAATAAAGTATAATTTGCATAATAATGATAATGATGTAATTAAATACAGTATAATAGAAACAGTTGACAGTAGTGAGTTGAGAGTAAAAAAATATACTATATATTTTAATTGCAATACAAATTATACAGCAATTAAAATGATTGTAACAAATAATTTAATTATTTATCATAATAAATCATCAAATAAGGTTGTAATGTAAAGATATAAACTAAGTCCCTTGTAAAAGTAATTAAATTAAAGACTATAATTTGAATTACATTTTTCTTTTATTATAATAATAGAAAGTATTTAAATAAATAAAATAGTTGAAATTCAGCAAAGGTTTCTAATGAACAAATATTTTCAGATTTAACTTTAGTCTTATACTTTGAACTTATTTATTATTTACTATATTTTTATATAATTTAATTTTCTGTTGTTAATTTTTTATATATATTTATTTTTTTAATTGTTAAATGCTTGTTTTATCTGCATTTAAGTGCTTTTGCATTTATATTTCAAATTATTTCTGGTCTAGAATCAGATAACAACTGAAAGTTGTTGTTCTCCATAAATTTTTGCTGCATTTTTCAGTTTTTTTGTATAATAAAGAGTATACTGTATTCAACAAAAGTTGTGGTTACTTGTCATTGCATGCACAGTAAGCAGGAGTTGCAGGTTTGACTCCTGCTCTGAGCTGATCTTTTCTTCCAAATATTCTAAGATTAATTTTAATTAATTAATTTATTTATAATTATTATATTTAACAATTTAGCATGAGGCCAAGCTAGCCTCATACTAAATTGCTTAGTAATTATTTAGCCTTGTAAGAATAAAAGAATTTGGCTGTTTCTTTGACATTATACTACATAAAGATAGTTGACAACTTTACAAATGAATAATATGTATTTGTATTAACATGCAGGAAAAACTGATATTTGTTTGATGCATTAACTCATAAAGTTTTTTTGACATAAAGCTGTTTGATGGCTAACATTATTGGCTCTTTTTGTTTGGCCAAAATGAGAGTTAATGCACATAATTACCTTGATATGCTAGAGTGGTACCTGATACAATTGGCAGACCTTCAACTTATAATCATTTTCCAACAAGACAACACACTACTATTTTGGATCTTGATTGTGAGAAGATTCCCAAACCAGATGTTTTCAAATCATTAAATTGGCAGAGGTAGGCCAACACCATTGCCACTGTAGATGGGGAAATGCTACATTGAGTATGGATGGAGCTGGCATACTGGTTAGCCAATTAAACATCATTTATGCCACCAGAGGTGCACATGTTGAAGTGGACTGAATACAAAAATAATTTGTAAGTTAATGTATCAAACAAATATAAGTCTATTCCTATATGTTAATAATACACATGTACAGGGTGGTTATAATTAAAGTTGTGCTACTCAGACCTGTCTAGAGCCCTTTCTTGTGGACGTATTTTGATGCGTAAGGTGTTTTGAACATGTAATTGATGCAAATGGATTGCACATTGAACAAATGTTGTGAATAAAAACCTTTTGCGTGTTTCCATTTTGTGTTTCTTGTTCTTCATGCACCATTTTTTCACCTAGTGGTAAAAATTCAAACTAAATATTTTTTTTGCATTTTCCTTTTCCCCATTGTCCATATAACATAGATACCAAGCTTCATCAAAATACATCCACGAGAATGGACTCTAGATAGGTCTGAGTAGTGCAACTTTAATTATAACCACCCTGTATTATTCATTTATAAACTACTTTTATGTACAGTACACCATGTATTTTATATTCCTGAGAATTCTTATATTATAACTGTGGGCTGCAATTTTCAAATTGCAAACCTATGGATTACCACTGTAAAATCAAATATTGTAGCTTGAAGACTTTCCATTTCTTAGCTATCGCAGCAGAGTGATACACATTCAAGATCGTCACCTCCATTCTTAATCTTGGAAATACTACAGATTTATTACATATTGTTTGTTTTAGCCTAACCTATAAAAGTTTAACTGTTATCTGTAAAATTGATAGCTGCATTTTACTATTAAATTATATGAAACATTATAAATTAAAAATTTAGAGTAGTTTCTTTCTGTTTTCAGGGAAATACTACTGAAATTTGAATTCTAGATATATATATAAGAAAGATATAACAAATGACCATTAACCACCAAAATATAATAGCATCAATCCCTCTGGAGGAGGTTCAGACAGCAATTACCTAATACATTGAACAGATCCTATGCAACTCTATGGAACAGAATGTCACATAATGACATTCTGTTCCAAAGAGCTACGATCCCTCAGAATTTTTAATACCTGCTCTAGTGCAGTCTTCTTACAGCTAGAAAAATATTTTTGTTAAAAGAAAGTAACTAGCAATCATTTATTGTGACATCGTCACAATGCCAGGCTGCAATTTTTAATTATATTCTTAATTAATTTATTTAATTTAAAATATACATTTTCTGTCTCAAATTAGTAGTGCCTTGCCCCTGTACATCATACTTTTCCTGATAACAACAGAGTCATGCTGGTCATCTATTAACTCCATTCATGGAAAATTTTTGAATTGAATTCATGTGACTTTCAGTCTAGACTGGAAGTTTGTATACATTTAATAGGGACTTCCTGACCCTAAGCCTTTCATATCTGGATTTGACTTTCATCTATCTAACACTGTTCTCGAGATTAAAGAAAGACAGATGGACACACAGCTTGGAATTTACAGGCCAGCAATTTCAAAATTGCTGTCCAGAAAGTTGATATTTATCATTTACAATGAATAATGCTATTCAACATTGTCAGTAAAAGTCAGTATTTTGTTATTAACCAACTTCCTTTTTAGTATTTCGTACTCTTTAGGTTAATAAGGTGTCAACATCCTCATCCAAGTCCATAGTAATGGCATTACTTATCATGACTGGATTTTCTTTAGACATATTATTATCCAAGAGAGTAAGCAGGACATTAAATACTGAACCATCCATATTTTTTTCAGATGGTCAACATAGCTTTATGTGTAGACACCAACAACCTTGATTTTCTAACTGACTGATATTCTTTCCATCATTCTATCTCCTATTTGAGATCTTCCATGCTTGGATGACTCCAGAATCATTCTATCTCAGTTCATATGATTAATGTTCAGAATGTGGGATCTGACAACAATCTATAACCAAAATGCTTTACAGATTTATTACGAAAACATGCCCTTTTGGGATGTTTATGTTCTTCTTCTTGTCTTTAAATGATGTTGACCCAGTTTGATTTTATTCTTTAGATCCTTTGATTTTGGTGGACGATTATTATAATCTGACTGTTGGCTTGCTTCTTCAGATTTTTTTGAGAACTTAGTTAAACTTAATGAAGGTAACCATCCATCTCCTTCTCATAGGAAGACGTATTTTCTTATCAGTAGATCTAACCTCTGCAGAAAATGGTCCACAACAATGTCAACTAATGCTTCGAAAGCATAAGTATCCCTCATATAACACAGTAGTTAAGTTCCGAAAAAGTGCCCTATTATGCAAATCCATGCTGTACGAAACAAAGGACTAATGCAAAACAGGATTAGGTTCCAAAAGTTAACAAAGGTATATTATTGTTTTTTGTTACTAAGAGAAATATGTTTATTAAAGCAATCGGTAATTTATCCTCAATCAGCAATTAATTGACAATCACAATTAAAAGTACTGTATTTCATGTTAATTTTAATTTTAGTTAAATCATTCCTGCATAATATCTAAATAAATCTTGTAATCTGTTGGCAAACTGTCACCATTTTTCAACATGATCTTTCTGCTTTCATGAACTGTTTCTTCTATTCTGTAGGCAATAACCTTACCTTTTCTAGCACTACTAACTTTAGCTGCACACAATCATTTCTCAATTCTTCCAGAAGGCATAGGACAGCACATTGGCACTTTCCTGTAAGAAATAGGAGTGTCACCTTTGTCCTTAACTCTTCTGCTACTTTGAAAGTCTTCTTAAAAATCTCTACAAGTTTGAAAACCAGGATGGCAGTTCTACATTTTCCTCCAGCATATGAGAAATAACTGATTTCGTTCTTTTAAGGCATTTGTTGATCTCATTCACTAGAGTAGAATAGTCCATATTACCAGTCTGACCATTTGTAAAGATTGTTCTTTTGAATTTAAGGCATTCAATTGCTAACAGTTTCTATTCTTTTCATCTCCATTTCCACTTTTATCTGTTATAACTTAATTTTTAGTTCAACTTTCTTTAACTAGTATTCATTACTGTTCTCTTCTATGATGTGCCCTGTGTATTTCCTTTCACCTCCTCAGTTTCCAAGGATTCCAAATAACCATCATTCTGGCTCTTTTGTTCTAAGGTATCTATGCCACCTCGAACTTCGAATTCTACACTTTCATTGATATCCTTAAGCTTAAAATAAAAATTATATTGATTCACCCAGTCTCTAGCTGTTTTGAATATTTTCTGTTTTCCTCAGTTTTCTGAAATGCCGAGCTCTATGGATGATTTCAACTTCATCAAAGTTTTTAGACTCAAATTCTGGTAAATTTTCAATCATGTACTGAAAAATTTATGTCCTTCAATCCTGCCGACTGCGCCAGTTAATGTTCTCATGTTCTTCTTCCGGTCAACTTCCTCCAGTTCCGAAGAATGTCAACAGGTTCTTTGGACGAATCTCTACAATTATTTTTATAAAAACAATAAACAAATGTTTATTTTCCATATAATATGACTACAAGTCACAAATAACAATTGTTTCTGGAAGGAAAGTCTCCACTTATGTTCTTTACCAGAACTTTTCAATTGTTTCGATTCCAATTGTCTTCAAATTTTACTCCATTCTCGAATTCCATCACAAGACAACGTTCTTGAACTCAACTTACAATTTTTGCATTACATTAAAAAACAATAAATAGAACTCTACAGAATCCTAACATAAAGATGCCAGGAAACCTGGTGTATCTGTATTTGTAAAATTTTAAAATTTTAGTTAGATATTATTAAATAACGAATTGTCTAGTGAGAATTCTCTTCAGATTGATCATTTATCATGTACTTTTTGTAATGGAAAATTATTAAGTACTAAAACTTTATAACACGCTGATTCTTTAGTATTTTGTGCGTGATATGATATGAGACATTTCTTGAAAATAGATTAATTTAAAAATGGAGTGGCAAGAAAATAAATTTATTTAAAAATTCCAAGAATTAAGTTTTATTTAATATATTTAAATACTATTAAATTAAATTTTTTGTTTAATGATTAAAGCTTTCTTATTAGAAATATTTATTTCAATTATATAATTAATAATAAAGAAATTACAAAATGTCACATCAAAATAATGTAGAAGTTACTTTTTTTTTTTTTCTTTTTCAAATCTAGAGTTGTTAATGCAGTCCAGATGAGACCACAACCGGACTTAAGTTACATCTTGTGTAAATGATCTTTCTGTTCTCCTTGTCAATGAGGTTTAGCGTACGCAATGAGAAAAAAAAACCTAAAATTCCTTTCGTATTTCTCACAAAAATGCAATTGTCTTCTGTTTCTTAAGGTCCTTGAACTAAGAATAAAGTATTAAATTATCTGAATTGATACTTGCATCATCTTTGGTAATTATGTTCTAATATAATATTTCTTTTTATAGCTTAATTAATGCACATTTAACTGGTTAAATTTAAATAATGCAAATGTTTTTGGGCCAATTACTGGGTCATCCTCAGAGTCAACAGTTGAAGATGGAATGCCTTTCTGATGCTGGCATTCCATCTTCAATATGGCAATGTATTTATTGGAGTTAATATTGTTTCATGTATATGCCGACATTTAGGGTGCCTATTTATTTATGGGTTATCTCTGTAGGTTATTATTGTACTGTACATTTATAGTTCTATGATTTGTTTTATAAGTACATAAACTTACTGTTATTTTTTACAAAAAGTTTATCATCACTATTTGCCTTTGCTGTATTCCATCTAAAATGCATTATTTTGCTAACAAATGTACTGGCTAGTTGTTTAAACATATTGACATTGTTCACTGCTAGTGAGAAACCCTGGATTCATTAAGAAGAAATAGGTCTTCATTTTTTTGCCTTATCAGCAGTAAGTTGTTAATTGTAACAAGTGTAATTATTTTAATGCATCAACCTAAGACAGTAGTTTGATCATGTCGCCATAAGGACAACTGGATTTTTTCTGGTTATATGCAATTGAACTGTACAACATTTCTTAGAATTTCTTTTCTCTAATTCATACTGTCATGTGGATGACATTAAAGTTTGCTAATGCTTCTTCCTCAGCTAAAAGTATTCCATTGTATCCAAGTTAATATTAGCTGTGGGATTAATCCATCCATATCTGTTTCTGCATTAGTCAGATTCTGTTTTCAGACAGATCTTCATATTAATACAGTATATGGAAAATATTGGGACTGAAAAATTTTCCGTCTTCATTAAGATTCCTACTCTTGCAGACTCCGTCTTAGTCAGATTTTATTGCAATTCTTTTGTTAGCTGAGGATTTGTTTTTAAAACTCTTTCCACCATGGCAGTAAAGAAGATCTCTCTTCAGCAAGCAAAGGCAAAACTCAACATATCCAGACATATCAGTGCCAAAAAATTCCTGGGTTTTTTCAAACTGTTGAGATTCAATCCTGGTCCTCCAGAGCAGTAGGCTGCCACCTTAATTAACTGCTCTGTCATCCAACTGTTGTTAGCTGAGGATCATCATATGATGGATGCAGTAGACTTACAATTCAATAAGTACCATGAAAGTTTCATCATATAGTAAGTGCATGTGTATGAGATTGCTATTAATATAATCCAACAGCAAAAGAGCAGATGAAGGAAATAGAAGGTGATGTGACCTATGACATCCCTTTCATCTGATGTAGACTTTGCCAGCTCAGGCTGACTCACGTCTACTCTTTCACTGTTCGGACTATAGTTATAGAGAAATTATCATAAATTATATCACATTTTTTTGCTTAATATCATTCATTTCTTATTAGACAATTTTAATTATATGAGAAAGTAATTACCACATAGTCATAAAAAAGAGAATATTACTTTTAAACTTATTAATCTACTTAACAAACAATGTACTGACAATCTTTTAATTGTTTGAAATGATATTAAGTGATAAATTAAAGATGAAAGAACTTATCTTTTTTATTTAATATTTTTACAATTTATGCATCAGTATTATTAAGTTTATTAAAAAATATTCTAATGAATTAAATTATGTTAACAAAACATTTAAATTAGCATTTATGTTTTTGTTGTCGTCTATAGCAATACTTATTTAGCTACACAAAATCTCTTGTTACGAATCTATAATTAAATATACTTTAACAAATTATCCAAGCGTTTTCTCGAAAGAATATGAGAAACAACATGTGTTTATAATGACTCAATCTTTCTGCTGGTTAATGATATTAAAGCGTTTCATTAAAATGATTGTAAATGGAATCAATGAATTACAATTTATTTTAATGATAGTTAAACGGGTGATAGTATTATTAAAGAATATCATTATTAATTGATTATAGCTTGTTTATTTTATTACGGTACTTAATATCTTAATTTTTAATCATAGAATTTTACAGTCGTAATTGTTGCTATTGAAATGTTTTCTGTACATTTGAAATTTATATCTATTGATATTAAAATATGATTAAAATTATCAGCTTGCAAGCAAAACTTTATTGAAATTATCATTTTTTTTTCAAAAATACATTAGATAAATTATGATATTGAAGATACCATATAGATTATCACAAATGTATCAAACATTAATGTAATATTTAGCAGTAAATATATTATATTTAATGATATATATTATTATTAAAATAACGTGTGTAAACTAGTCGTCATCTGATAAAGTTTATAATGATCATAGGGTTGGATATTTGTGATTGTATCAGCCTGCCACTTTCCATGATACAGCATCTGGATTGGATCCTCAAATTTTTATCTATGGTTTGATGTATTACCTTATTCTTCATCATCCTAACTTTCCATTCTGAGTCTGTCTGAATGCTTATGGGCATGAAAAGACCTCTTAGTACCTATAGAATTGAGAGTTAAAAAAATAACACAAAATGCCTTTTGATTAAGTAAGGCAAACGGTATTATATACTTTAAGAAATATACAGGATGATTCAAAATTATGTGAACAATCTTCGGTGAGTCAAAATTATGTGAACACTATTTGAGAGAAAGCATTTACTCAAAGTTTGCGTTATACAGAGTCTCAACCTGACCACCAGCACGATTAATGAACTCAAACCAACATTCAACAGTACAATTTAGTGCCAGAACACCGGATATTGGGGAGGCCATAACAATGGTCTGTCATGACCAATCAGAATAGAAAACAAAATTAAAATTAAGATGTTTCATTAATAATGTTTAATTAAAAATTAAGATTGTTCACATAATTTTGACTTACCCTGTATATTTCTTAAAGTGTATAATACCATTTGCCTTACTTAATCAAAAGGCATTTTGTGTTCAGCTGTTCACAAAGTCAGAACCCCTCTTTTTTGTGCAATGTGAGAAATCTGCAGGAGCTATAGAATTGTGGCTGCTGTGGGAAGAGTGACAATGTATATGCTGTAGTGAGTATAGGAAGAATTTGACTATCAGTCAGATGTGTGTCATGTGACGCAACACACATTGAGATATTGTAATGGGCAAACGTGAAACTTGGATAGCTTTTTAATGTTTTTATGTATGTTTTAATGTTCTCAGATAATAATTAACATAATTACAATAATATAAAATGGTAGCCTTCTTTTTGGAAGATATTGTATATATTATATACATAAGGAAATTATATATGTGTGTATATAATTTTCTTAATGTCTTTTGGTGCCAGAAACGTATCTTGAGGGATCTCTACAACCCAGAAACATTAGAGAAATTAGACCAAATTAAAATTTAAGCTGAATATAGTTTTATTGAGATTAGACTACTATTATTTTTAACTTATTCTGGTTACTGAAAAATCCTAAAATCCTTATTGTATTTAATAGGAATAAACATCTGTTATTTTGATGTCATCTTTTAATATCAGAAAGACAGTTTATTTGCTCCTGTTGGATTTATATTGGTGTTTGTCTTAGTATATTGCATTTTTATTAATGTATTTATATTGTAAATCTTAGTGAATTGTGTAAATTTCAGTGGAGCTGGGTTGAAGTAAAATTGTTTGACTAAAATACTTTATACTAACAATCATACATTCGTTTAAAAATTATAATTTAATAAATTTTCTAGCATTTTATACAAAATTTAATCTTTAAATTTTTATAACTCTTTTATACAGAATTTCATGCTTTTATGAAGTCAAAGTTAGCAAGAATGGCTTTTGTTGAAGAAATTCATCCAAACTATCACATACTAAACAATGGCAATGATGACGACGATGATGATGATGATGCATTTCGATGGAAAATAACTGACGAGCCTAATGATGTTTTGCCGGAAGCTGCGAAGTGCGAAATAGCTGAATTGAAGACCGACAGTGTAGAATATAAGAACATTGAAATAAAGTGCGAGTGTATTTTGACCGAAGACAGTTCTCTTGATATAAATACCGATGAACAGGAGGACGATATGTGTAATGTAAAAAATGAAGATGTGTGTGATAACGATAATATAAATAGTAAAAAACCGGTAAAATCTTATACCAGGAAAGAGAATAAGTTATTAATTAATGAAAGAGATAATGGAGAACTGGTCGACACTATATATAATTGTTGCGGTAAGGAGTTTACAAAATACACTGGGTACAAAATACATCAAAGGAAAGTTCATTCAAGAAAAAGGATATATATGTGTGATATGTGTGATAGGAAATTTGTAACTATAAAAAGACTTAATGCTCATCTAAAAAATCATACACACAGGGCTCATAATTGTAACATATGTAACAAAGAGTTTTCTACAGCTAAATGTTTGAAACTCCATAAACAGACACATAATTCTGATAAGCCATTCATCTGTAACTTTTGTAGTAAAGGATTTAGGAGGAAAGGTGACTTACAGACACACATTTTTGTTCATACGGGTGAGAAGCCGTACTTCTGTAATTTATGTGATAAGGCATTCATCACGAGCAGTAAATTAAAGACACATACGAGAATTCATACAGGTATAACTCCATATGTTTGTACTTTTTGTGGGAAAACGTGTATCAGAAACAGTGATTTAAAAGCTCATTTGAAAATTCATACCGGCGAGAAACCTTTCATTTGTGAAATCTGCGGCAAAGGATTTCAAAGAAATTATTGCTTGCAGACCCATCAAAGGGTTCACACTGGAGAAAGACCATATGTTTGTAGCTTGTGCCAGAAGTCATTTATCAATGGGAGTAAACTTAAAATACATTCAAGAATTCATACAGGTGAAATGCCATTTTTGTGTGACATATGTGGGAAGGTGTATATGACCAGTACCGATCTGAAGACGCATCTAAGGATTCATACCGGCGAAAAACCATACATCTGTGATTCTTGTGGCAAGGCATTTAGGAGGAGCTGTGATTTGCAAACACACCAAAGAATACACACTGGAAACAGGCCTCACATATGCGAATCCTGCGGAAAAGGTTTCATTAATAATAGCAAGTTGTTAAACCATCAAAAGACTCATACTGGTGAAACACCTCTAAACTGTGATTTCTGTGGTAAAAAGTGTTCATCGGAAGAAGATTTGAAGAGTCACGAACAGTCACACATAGGAGAGAAGTCATACGTTTGCGACATGTGTCACAAGACTTTTGTAAATAATAGTAGACTACAAACACATCGTAAAATTCACAGTAAGATTAAATCATATATTTGTGACTTTTGCAATAAGAGGTTTTCGAGTAATGTCAAATTACAGATCCACAAAAGAATTCACAGCAGAGAAAAAGTGGACAAAAGTCGTGCAAACAAGAGTCACGACTGTAGTTTTTGTGGAAAGATGTTTAAACAGCGTAGACGTCTAAAAAACCACATTAAAAAAGAGCATCCGGATTCTGCCAGCGATGGTAGCAGCGATGAATTGTACTATACAGAGTAATATATGCCACACGGTTCAAAATGTAAATAAATGTAAAGTAATCATAAATTATTTTGATTATTAAAAAGTATTAGTGTTCCAAAGAAATATCATACAGAGCAACAACCTATTCTGAGCTATATGAAACTTTCATATCAATCTAAAGAACAAGAATCAAATTTTTAAATTATTTTAAAAGCAATGTTTTATATTTTGAGTGTATTCTACTAAGTCAAAGATTGTAAATAATCAAATTATTCTTCTGGTTTCCATCAGTTCAGCTTTGTTATCTATGGTACCTGAATTTGGTCAGATTTATTTATGAATCTGCAAGTTATATACAAAGTTACGCCATATAAACTTATGCTATATAAGTATAAACTCATTTTTAATCAATGTACAAATTGTTTATTTGTTCATGTTACTGATGTTATGGAGTTTTATATATTTAAAGCAACTATATATGTATATATCATACAATGTGTCTTAACATTATATTTGTTTTTAAAAATTTATTTTTAACTAAAATAATTATTTATTAAAGACATACTGCTCATCATTACAGATCCTTAATGTAACATTAATCAACATTGTAAAATATTAATTAAAATGTCATATACAAGACATCTGAAAAGTTACCATGCAGCGAGAAATTTGTAAGAATATTAAAGTTATACATGTGACATTGCATACCAAACCTGTAAATTGTATACAATACAGTCAGCTGGTGGACTGGTACCAAACAGACAATGTAAGGTCTCATAGCAATATCTTACGTATAGCTTCAACATCGTTATAAATTTCTCACTGCATAGTAACTTTTTGGACACCCTGTACAGTCTGTAATTTTATATGTTCCTGTGTTGTTAGAGAATTTTAGATGTTACAATTTTATAATTACAATGGGCAACTTTAATGAACACTTTATTGATTAACATCTGCATTCTAGTTTCAAATTCGTGCATGGTTTTTTAGTCGTATGGAATCTAAAAGCTTCGTGCAAACGAAGAAAAACATTTTTTATTGATTGTTATTTGTATCTTTAAGAAAAAAAAAATGTTACATGATAAAAATTTGAATTATTTGTAATTATAAAATTGTTTAAACCCCTAAAAATGAGATCTAAACAGTCTTGAAAATGATCAAGACTGAAATGTTAGTCAAATATAACTTATTGTTTCAAATGATAATAACCACCAACACTGCCAAAGTATTATTTTAGAATATTCAAATATTATTAACAAAACAAAAAAAACAAAAAAAAAGCATTTGTTGATGTTTCAATGTTTGTTATATTAAAAAAATACAAAAAATATTTAAGAAATTTATGCATTTTTGTATATTCCTATGTTTATTTTTCAAAGATTATTATTATGTTTATATTCAATATTTTTATTCGTGTAATTAATTTATATATATACATATATATAAATAAAATATAAACATTTGGAATGAAGTTTATTCTGTTATTTTTAAAGGTAAGCACCTTTTAAGTATCAATTTCTTTCTTAAATATTGGAAAATTGCTGGCATACCATTTATGAGATAAGCTTATCTGAATGCAACTGCAATTATCTAAAAACTTCATTTTCTCAAGAGTATTTTTGATAAAAACATTTCCAAATTAAAAAGTTAATAAGTTAGATATAAATTCAATTATTAATTTTTTAATTTACGTAATAAAATGTCAAGTAATTATCTGATGTACTGCTGAAAGTTGTTTTTTTATTCCCCTTTCCCTATACAAAGTCATTTAAGTTATATGAAGTATTTATAAGCTAAAGAATTTAAATCTTATCTATAAATTATTCCTTATAAATAGCTTAAGAATAGAGGATGTTTTATATATATATATTTTTTATTATTCTTTAAGAAAATGACGCATCATTTACTCTATTTGAAAAGAGTTATAGTCTTTAAACTTTAAGGAAAAAATTATTTTTAAACACCTTGAATGAAGTTATTCAACGAAACTGGAACGATTTTATAAGTAGCTTCATGTAGTGCATGCAAATTAATGGTGAGAAAATTTAGAATTTCCAACTAAATATATATATATATATATATATAATTTTCCTCCATGTCAACTTTAAAAGGTGATTTTAACATGTAAATTCATGTATAATCAATATTTTTTTATTTAAATACTTTATATTAACAAATAATATATAGCATAAAATTATGCTCTATATTACTTTTATGTATATGAGAGTCAATTCGGAAAAATTTATCCTGTACTTAGAAAGGTGTTGTACGGAAACAAACCTCAACCAAATCAATAAAGAGAAAATTATACGTCAATGGAGAGATTTCTTCGTAATAATAGGCATTTAAAACCTTATTTTATAATAATAAATTAATTCTATAATATATCAATTTTAAATATTGATCTAACACGTTAAATTACACCTCCAATTGTACAGTTTTTATGTTAATATCTAAAATTAATGAGATATTTCATATTTATGCGTCTAAATTTACTTAGAATCTCTAGCCAATTTAGGTGTATCTAGTTTTTAAAAAGTTCGTATGATAAAAGAAATGATAAAATTCAGATTATTTTTGAAGTTCTGAGTAAAAGACAAAACAAAAGAAACAGTTTTCTATCGATTTTTCTTTGTTTGTCATTAATTTTATTTATTTTTCCTAGACTTATGTCTCTCAAATCAAGGGAAGTGAAGTCAAAATGAGAGAGTGAGTGAAGAAAAATACACGTAAAAAAAATACGTAAAATAATTGATTTATTGTGAAAAAACTGTCGCTAACTTGTCAATACTTTTTTTGAAATTTTCCGTAATTGATTGCACTCAATATCTATCATCAATTTCTTTTTTAAATTTCTAATTATATACATTTTTCTGACACGTGAGACAAATCGACAATTAAAAATTGTCGATTTGACTCACGTGTCATACGTTTTTTAGATAAATTTGTCAATTTCGTTCACGTGTCGTGTTTTTGTTGAGCAGAAAAAGCTCATTTTCTGTTAAAAAAAATTCCAGCATTGAGTTGTGTAACTTTCCCAGCAAAAAAGTAAAAATTGTATCAGGCGCCATCTGTTACGAGATTTTTTAATTAAATTTTTTTTACATTATTAATTATTATAAAATGGCAAAAAGCTTAATTTTCAGGGTACAGATGGGTTTTATTTTTAAAATAATTATAAATGCTAGTAACGAGTAAAATCGTCATTAAGTCCTACCCTACTCGAGATAGGACACGTTACCCCCCTCTATCTCCTCACCTCCTCGATCTTTAACCACCAAAATCTGATAGCATCGATTTTTCTAGTACACAGGTCTCCCTGCAAAATTTCAGAAATTTTCGACAAAAGACACAGGAGTTATTAAGCTTCAAAGAGGGTGAACAAAGTCATGTTTCCCACATACACACTGATATCCATAGATACAAAAAAGCCCAAAATTTTTTGGATTTCTGGATGTTTCAAGGTCTCTCGAGTCCAAAAATATAAAAATCTTCGAGGGAAGGTCATTCATTGACCGATCCCCATAACTTCCCTCTGTTATGTCAGATTTATTTATGAATCTGCAAGTTATATACAAAGTTACGCCATATAAACTTATGCTATATAAGTATAAACTCATTTTTAATCAATGTACAAATTGTTTATTTGTTCATGTTACTGATGTTATGGAGTTTTATATATTTAAAGCAACTATATATGTATATATCATACAATGTGTCTTAACATTATATTTGTTTTTAAAAATTTATTTTTAACTAAAATAATTATTTATTAAAGACATACTGCTCATCATTACAGATCCTTAATGTAACATTAATCAACATTGTAAAATATTAATTAAAATGTCATATACAAGACATCTGAAAAGTTACCATGCAGCGAGAAATTTGTAAGAATATTAAAGTTATACATGTGACATTGCATACCAAACCTGTAAATTGTATACAATACAGTCAGCTGGTGGACTGGTACCAAACAGACAATGTAAGGTCTCATAGCAATATCTTACGTATAGCTTCAACATCGTTATAAATTTCTCACTGCATAGTAACTTTTTGGACACCCTGTACAGTCTGTAATTTTATATGTTCCTGTGTTGTTAGAGAATTTTAGATGTTACAATTTTATAATTACAATGGGCAACTTTAATGAACACTTTATTGATTAACATCTGCATTCTAGTTTCAAATTCGTGCATGGTTTTTTAGTCGTATGGAATCTAAAAGCTTCGTGCAAACGAAGAAAAACATTTTTTATTGATTGTTATTTGTATCTTTAAGAAAAAAAAAATGTTACATGATAAAAATTTGAATTATTTGTAATTATAAAATTGTTTAAACCCCTAAAAATGAGATCTAAACAGTCTTGAAAATGATCAAGACTGAAATGTTAGTCAAATATAACTTATTGTTTCAAATGATAATAACCACCAACACTGCCAAAGTATTATTTTAGAATATTCAAATATTATTAACAAAACAAAAAAAACAAAAAAAAAGCATTTGTTGATGTTTCAATGTTTGTTATATTAAAAAAATACAAAAAATATTTAAGAAATTTATGCATTTTTGTATATTCCTATGTTTATTTTTCAAAGATTATTATTATGTTTATATTCAATATTTTTATTCGTGTAATTAATTTATATATATACATATANGCAAAACATGTCAGTTTCATTAGAAACTCCCAATTCCTCTGCAAAACATGTTCAGTTTCACTCGAAACTCCCCAATTCCTCTGCAAAACATGTTCAGTTTCATTAGAAACTCCCAATTCCTCTGCAAAACATGTTCAGTTTCACTCGAAACTCCCCAATTCCTCTGCAAAACATGTTCAGTTTCACTCAAAACTCCCCAATTCATCTAAAAAAAGTCTTCAATTCCAATTGAGGTACACTCACTCAGCACTTGTATGTAAATCAAAAACACAACTTTTTAATTTGCTGTCTGCAATTCCCCTAAAAAGTCGCCAATTTCATATTAACAATTAGAAATTGATAAATAGGAATTTTCGAACTGTTTACTCTGCTATAAAATGACATTTTAAAAAGTAAATTCCCCCATTAAAATCATTAAAAAACATTTTTAAAAATAGCAAAAATAAAAAAACATCAAGTAAACAGCGAAAATTGACACACACGAAGAAAATGAAAGAGAAAATTAGAGAAGAAACACAGTTTCCCCTCCCACTTAAAAATTTAGTTTTGGGTTGCAATTTTCAAATTCCCACTGTCGGCCGTCTGTTCGTCTGTCCGTTCGTCCTTCCTTAATCTCGAGAACGGAATTAGATACGTGAAAATCGAGACCAGATACGGGAAACTTAGGTTCGTAGCCATCCAAGTTAGGTTCGTAGCTATACAAGAACTTCCGGTCTGGACCGGAAGTCATGTGATTTTTTGCATTTTTTAAAATTATTTTTGGATAAATATATCCAAAAAAATTAATCTAAATTGTAAAAAAATTGTTCTTAATTATGACGTCATAACAATAAATCAAATTTAAAAGGTTTACTGAAAACATACAAATGACGTCATCAAGTTAAAAACAAGCGAATTAAAATAATAAAAAAGAAGACGGAAATAATTTAAAAAGTCTAAAATTTATTTTTTCGAAAAGAAGTTCAAACGAAATTACAAATAAAAGAAAGTAAAAATAAACAAAAAAAAAACTTTTTAAATAGACATGACGTCATGTAACTTTACATAACTTAATAAAAACGACGATATAAAAATTTCGCGTAGACCAATTAGATTAAATAAATCTCAAACGAATTACGAACGAGGAAATAATTTAAAAATCGCACGAATAACGAATGGAAATTTTTATTAATTATAACCTATGGCGACATTACGGCACGAGTGCGGGATTAACACGTCGACAGCGCCTTGGTGCGAACGGAAGTGGAAATCGTAGAAGTCGGACGTTTCGGTGGATTTTTCTTGAATTTTTGGTGTCGGGAATCTGTTAATTTTTTTTTTTTTTACTTAAAATAAAGACTTCTGACATCGAAATAATGAGTTCTAAACGTTGTGCCAGATGCGAGAAGACCGTTTATCCGTTAGAAGAACTCAAATGCTTGGATAAAGTAAGTAACGTTGGTATTTAGGGTTAAGATTGAAATTGACAATTTTATTCGTTTGTTTGTTTGTTTGTTTAATCCCATTTTCCGATGCTACTTTCGAAGATGCGTAATTAATTAAAAAATACAATTTTACTTAATTCAAATTAATTTTATTGATTATTTAATCATTCGCGTGAATCGCTTTTGCTTTCGTAAAATCGCCAACAATTTTTTTTTAATATTTTTTTTTATTTTCTCCGTGTTAAACGACATGTTCAGTTTCACTCGAAACTCCCCAATTCCTCTGCAAAACATGTCAGTTTCATTAGAAACTCCCAATTCCTCTGCAAAACATGTTCAGTTTCACTCGAAACTCCCCAATTCCTCTGCAAAACATGTTCAGTTTCATTAGAAACTCCCAATTCCTCTGCAAAACATGTTCAGTTTCACTCGAAACTCCCCAATTCNCGTGCTTTTCTTACTTAATTCTGACGTTTTGTTGTTTTTAAATGGCGCTAATTTGGCGATAAGCGCAGTTTTCGGTAGGGGTCACTTTTTAGATAATTTGTAAATATTATATTTAAATAGTGACCCCTACCGGCTTTTTAAATTTCTACCTCTGATTAGGGGAGGGGGGAAAAATTGTCTTATTTAATAAATAAATTTTAAAATATTTTTATATTTAAAAATGATGGAATGAATATCAAATATCGTTCTGTTGCCTTTTAAATGGCGCTGTTTTCGATAGGGGTCACTTTTAGGTGATTTGTGTACCTCTATTTAACTAGTGACTCCTACTGGATTTTTATATTTTTATCTCCAGAATTAAAAAAAAAACTTAAATTACTTTATATTAAAATTATAAAATATCAAAAAGTGTAAATAACGTTTTAAAAAAAAAGTTTTTGTGATGATAAGGATGATTGGCTTCAAAAATATATAGAAACATTGAAAGATGTGGTGATGCCAATGGCATTTAAAAGCATAATTTGTGTTTAACTTTGGCATTTTTTTAAAGCATTAGCTATTAAAAATCATAACGCGGGTTTAGCATTTAAAAAAGAGAATAGATTCAAATTTTTTTGTGATAGGAATATAGTTTTTCTCTTCTCATAAGTCATACATCTGTCAAATCAATGGACGAGTAAGCCCGATCCAAAGATGAAACAGATTGAACATATTTAAAAAATAAAAAAAAAAGCATTAACGACATTACAAATTATAATCTTCATTCAAAGCAAATAGGCTTTTAACATCATTTTTTAAATTATCTTTATTATTCATGTATTAAATAGCCTAACTTTTCTGTTAGAATGATGCAGAGATATAAAATCTATATAATGTGTATACATTTTCAGAAGTGTATAGTAGTTAATACACAGTATTCAAGATGCTAAATTTTTTGAATGCCATTTAAATTTTTTTGTTTTTACTGTTGTTGGTGTTGGGTAAAATTAAATTTTTAATCTGTTAAAATATTATAATTTACTCATGTATTGCCTTTTATAGCATGTAATTGCTGTTTATTTATCAATTTTCTTCTTTGGTTTAATTAAATATTTACTCGAACGGTTAAAACAACTGAAAATAGTCTCCTTAAAAAGTCTGAACTAACCAAAATTATGTAATAATGTTTGTTGTATTTCAGGTTATTGATATTATTTCCTAAAATTCCTGTAAACTTGCATAATTATATTGAAATATAAGAGGGTGAATTTGTATATTTGTTGCTTTTTTAACATTCTTTAAGGTGATTCTTATCTATAATGTTTTTCACCCTGCATATCACAATAAATATTTATCAAATACTGCTTTTATTATTGATGTTTTATCATAATTTGGTATAACCACAGTTTATATAATTGTTGAAATTTAAAATATAACAATAATAAAAGTATTGCTGAGAATATAAGAATAAGAATTTGCATATAAATACAAAGATTGTATCCATTTACAGTGGGGTTTTTTTTATTGGTGACATCATATATATTTTTTTAAATTATCTAAAACATTATCATATTAATGATGAAACATTTCACATGTCCTAAATAATTCATGTCATAATAATATGCATATATATCAAGTACTTAATTGCCAATCTGTATATTATTGTTATAGAGAAATCGATAATCTTTATTATATATATTAAGACATTAATGATAAAAAGAATTTAACTTTTCAAATTATGTACTTATTATTTTATTTGAAGTGTACTAATTAATTACATGTTATACAATTAGATAGCATGATTAATGAATGTAATTTTCATAAAAATATCTGTACCTTTCAGCCATGACTGTGATTAAATAAGACAATTTCTGTTCTTTTTGATTTCTGATCAATATTCGTAAATTTTTCCAGTTTATCCTATCTTAACAGGCGATAGGAATATAATTTTTCTCCTATTATAAGTCATATGTCTTTTGAATCAATAGACGATTATGCCTGATGCAAATGCCAGATCCAAATGATTAATGAATGATTTTGTATAATTTCGATTGGATTGCACAAAAACTTGTTAGGCAAATAATTGAATCGATTGCTATATATTCCATTTAATAAAATTGATGTTATCTTTGACATGGTTATAAAGTATGTAAAAGAAAATTAGGTTATAAATAAATATTCTGCTGCTTTACTCGACATTTTAACTATATTGAATAGTTGCCAGAGGAAATTATTTTATAAAAAAATAATAATGTTGCATTGCATCTATAAGCAATTCAATCTGGAGTGATGTATCTTAAAATAAACTTTATTGGATGCTAGCACAGTTTTTAATTTCCTCTGTTTTTATTCTTTAGATGAATTTCCCAAACAATTTCTGGAATTGGGTACATGAATTAATCAATCTTATGTTCTCAATTATCGTGGGATCTAATTTTAGAAAATTAGTAACACAAGGAGGCGAGTTAAATTATTTAATTACCCTTTAAGCTCTATCAAAATGCTTAAACTGGAAGAATATGTAATTAATTCAGATTTAATTCTACTAGAGATGTAAAATAACCATGAATTTTTGTAATTTTTAAGTAAGCATTAGATTACTTTATTCATTTTCTCTGATGTGTATTAAATATAGTCAATGTACATTACTTAATTTATATTTAACTACGCTGATAAAATTATATATTGTCACTCGGTCATCCATGAGAAATTTCTCTGGTTGAAAAGGTTCTCGGTTTTGCAAAAACGGAACGAGGATATCTGCCGAAATTAATAAGTGTACTTGGAAAAATTAGCCATTTATACTAATAGGTAATTATTTTTAAAGACATCAATGCTAAATTCAGTAAAGGAAAGAAATCTATTAAGAAGTTAACTTGCAATTATGAGAGAGAAATGTCTGTAACATCTGTAACTCCCCCCTTTTTTTTGTCTTTCTCTTTTGTCTAATTTGCCATTATTCGAGCGCAGACCTGTAATTAATAAAGTAAATAGGCTAAATAAGAGTTGTCGTCCCGTTAACTTTCACATTTAATAGAGTCTAATAAACATTTTTGGATTATTTTTAAAGAACATATTATTATAAATTTTTATTATAATGAGCCTTATAGCCTTACCACTACTACTGTGATACCCTCTCTTAATGTACTGTACCTACTTCTAAAAATATTTTCAAGATTTACGAGTTATTGTTAGCATTTTAAGCCAGATAGCAGTTAATGTAATATTTATTCTGTTTATCAACAGGTTTTTGCTATTAATACAAGAAATTAGTCATGAAAGCAGTTTAGTTTTATGATTAATTATATAAAAAAATAGCATTAGCTTCAACTCAAAATTTGTTTTTTTTTTTTTTTACTTCAGTGATGTTGTAGAAGGTGTTTTTTTATTTATTTTTTTATTTATAGATTGTCACCTTGTCTAAAAATAGCACCTAGCTACTAAACGGGAACTAGGGGTCAGACTATTTTTTCTATTCTGAATGGTGGCATTCATGTAATCCTAGATTATTCTAAAATACTTCTCTGCTCGAGTTGATTTCTGTAGTAGCATGCTAAATAACCATTAAATATGTATTGAATGGTTCAGGTCATTTATATTATTAATCATTCTGTAATTTAATGTAAAATTTATTAACTATTTAAATCATTTCTATCCACAAGACAATGCAATTATTTAGTATGTCATAAATATTCATTATTAGTTTTATTTTTAAAATGGTACTCGCTATTCTTATCTCCAGTGTGTTAGTTTTTTTTTTTCTAATTGTTATACAAGGGGTGGCGACATGGCAAATTTGCAATTTAGTTGTATTTCTTCATAGAGATAAATGTGGTGATCCTGTTTTCAATATGGAACATCTATGTTGTTTGGAATTCCGTCGACAGAAAAAAGTTGGGTGGTTTACTTTTTGTTAAGCAAATGGTACATTAAAAATTTAAATTCTTAGTATATTTTCTCGTATAAACTCTCAAACTATAAATTTCCAGATATTTGCATTGATTTTACTTTAAAAGTGTCCAGTGAAAGTAGGAAATTTATTATTTCTCATGTTTAGTGGCAGATTGTTGACATAGGAAAACACTTTTTTTTTCCCTCTTTAATGTAATATAAGCAGTCGGTCTAAATGAAATGAGTTGATGGACATTCACTGTGTGTAAATTATGATATCACATGATTGAACTAAAGAGAATTCTGTTTACACTGTCAATAGAATTGATTCGTAAAATGGTAGACATTTGTAATTAATCTTTACAGTATCCTAGTAAAATTTGAGGTCATCCGTGTTATTGTTGTAAAGAAAAAATTGAACTAGAATTGATTTTTGTACAACTCAGTAATAATTAAATATTGTTATAGTTATTTAAACTCATGTAAACAATAATTTGAGTGGATTTTGAGAATTTGCTGTTTCTAGATGCCTCAAAACAAAGTTTTTGTTTACTATTTAATTCAAACAGATCCATATCAAAGTTCTTAATTTTTTTTTTCTTATGAGTTTGTTTACTTCTAGCTTAATTTTGTTCCAAGAATTTTGGGAAGTGCTATTTTTTTTTTTCTTCTTATTTAATATGTTGTTTATCAATTCTTTTCACTCAAAATCAAGAAAATAGTTCAATCTTTTAATAATTTATATTTTCTTATAACTGTAATTGATGTAAATTTACAGCATTAATATTTTATTTTTACTAGATATGGCATAAATTATGTTTCAAATGTCAAGAATGCGGAATGACGCTGAATATGAAAACGTATAAAGGTTTCAACAAATTGCCATACTGTAATGCGTAAGTAGACCACAAACTATTTACTTAATTTTTCTTATTATTAATCCCTAAAATTTACATCATATAATGTAGAATGGAATTGTAAATCCAGTTCATTAAAGGTCAAGGATGGGATTTAAGCAGCTTGTTTGCTGCATCGGTTTTTAATCAATCAGTAATGTATGCTAATAGAGTAGCAATGGTTCAACAAATGACGAACAAAATGATCGAGATTACTGATGGTAGTTTAGAGGTCAGAAACTTTGGAATTTGACTTTTAATATTAAAACTTATCTCAGAATGATAATGTTTGTGACAGATCTTTGAAAGTTCAACTTTCAACAATTTTTTAAACATATTTTTATATTTAAAAACGTGAAATTAAGTAAATAAATCTGTTTTTAAACATATAAATAAAGATATTTTTTTTAAGTTGAATTTATTGCTCACCGGATAGAAATGCATTGTAGCCCAGTTTCTGAATGAAATTCTGGTTTGAGATAGCTTTGTGTAGCTATCTGACAAGTTATTTCTCAGATAACTGGATATACGAGATGAGTGAATACTTGGGAAACCTGCAATTTATAAATAATGCATTCGTAGAAGAATTATAATTTGGGAGTATTAAAACTTGTGAATGTCTAATTTTGCAATTAAGTTGTTTTATATAAAAACAATGAGTGACATGAGAAATTTGAAGAGAGTGCAGTGAATACTCAAAATTTCAACTATTTAAACAGATGTTAGCTTAGTATATCACTGTCCTCTTGGAATTTATTGAAATCAATATTAAAATATGATAGAATGAAAACTATTAAGAAATATATACACAAAAATAAAGAATAAAAAAAATTAAGTGATGATTAATTATGTTTTGTTACATAAAAATTTAAAAGCTAGGATTACAGAATGAAATAATTCATTTTTGATGTCAACTTTAAATATTTAGGTTAAAGGTGTAAGAAACTTCTTTCTTGAAACTATGATGATAAATATTTTTAAAATGTAATGGAAAGAGAAGAATTTATATTTCTAGAGCTGCTGCTTAAGAATTTTAACTAATTTTTGGCGTAACTGAAATTAAAGTCGGTCGGTGGAGTTCAGCAGTAAAATTGTAGAATTTTGTTCTATCTTGAGACTAGTTATTTTCTGAGTTCTAGTTGAGGCTTCCAGCTGTTCTGTATTTTTGCATAAACACTTCCTGAATAGGTTAAGTAGGCAAGATATTTAAACTAAATGCCTCCAAATTCAGAAGACTGCCAGCAACGTATTGTTCTCGGGCCAAATGTCCTAACCAGAAATTTCTTTTCCCGTTTTAATATTTATAAAAAGGAACTGTTCCTAAATGTGTTATGTAATGTTAATCGTTTAAATCAAATGTGCGTCACTGTTGCAAAGGAAAATGATTATTAAAAAATGAAAATTTGAGAAGTGATGCAGAGATATTATTCTGCAGTATCATCATTATGAAAGATTGTTTTTTGCAGTTTTGTATTGATTATGTAAGAATTATGATGTTTGAATATGTAATATATTTGATTTGATGAAATGTCTTGAAATAAAAACATTAAAAACATTTTTATTTAAAATTCTGCAAGAATTTATTCTGAAATTCTGTATGTCGTAGACTATTTTCTGTAGTAAAAGATATTCTTGGAATGTGTCAACTTATACTGACCACCATATTTAGTTTGTAAGCAGCAAATGCCATTAATAAAAATAAGCATGTAGCATTCTCGAGTTGCTTATCGATAATTTTGTTTAATTTATAGTTTTCAACTGTTATCAAACTTATAAAAAATAAAGGAAACATCTGTTGAGATGTGTCTCAACCCAAAAGAGTGATTTATTGAAAGGGTAAACATTTAATTACGGACATGAGATTTCTATAGTGTGTGCACAGTGTAATATAGGACGTCTTATATTAATTTTATCGTTAAATTTTTTATTAGATCAGTGGTTATGTGGCCATATTTGTTGCCTAATCCATGCATCTAGATATATAAAGATTGGTATATTAAGGCATTTATCATGGTGGGAAAACATCTGACTGACATCTCTCCAACATAGATGACAACTTCTTCTATTTTAGATCTACGGGTCATCAGTTGGTTTTGGCACCCAACCAAATGGGGCCAGTCATTGGTCTCCCGTACTCTTTTATGGGAATGGTATCCCAGAACTATTAAAATAAACAAACTTAGTTATATTTTAGTTAAGTTAAATTTCATCCCCTCCTCCTCGCATTTTAAAAGGTGGCAGTAGGATGCTGGAATTGTTACATAAGACCAGATGGGATCAAAATACATCCACGTTCCTCGGAGACAGATGTGATTGATGGTGACCGACCGACTGACTGACTAGCTTAGAGTCTGGATGTAGTTATTTCTGTTCTTTTTCTCAGTTCGTTGACTGTATTACAACAGGGAAATTAATAGAAATCATAGCTAAGTTCATACACTTTTTGTTGATTTAACTGAAGTGTAAACTAACCTGACAGGTGTTCCACAAGCTAGCAATTTTTTAGTAAAAGTTAGAAAAAAAAATAAAGGAAACTCTTCTACTGGATATGGAAAATTTTAGCTGGAAGGAGGTCAAATTGGTTAATTACACGTCTCATTAAGGAAGAGATAGTCATGCCTATTAGTTTCCTTTATGTTTGTTTCTTATTGCTTATCATCCATCGTTTATTGTGTTTGAGGTTTCTGATTGACTGTTACCTGTATTTATTCGCTTGTATGGAAGGGTATTATGGATGATATAGGTTCAGTAGAGTCGAAAAACAAGGCGTTTAAGGGCGATCACGAATCGCCATTGATTTCAAGCAGCCATCAGAGGATTTAAAAGATTGACGTAACAATGCCCTTTCTCGACTAGTTCAGTTTGCTTGTCCGTCGGTTACTAGGTCATATTTTGCATTCTGTAACTTCGACTGGCATGACCCATATTCAGGCAAACAATAGAAATCGGGCGTGTTGATGCCTGAATAAACGTAACCACTTGGAAAAGAAGATAATAATAACTATAATAATATGGGTGCCTTGATACGCGAATAATTCAAAAAAAAAAACGCTTTTAACCACGTGATCTTTTTTCCGCCATTTCTGAAATTCACACCACGAGGTTTAGCGTGGATCGCGGTGTTTTGAGGTTAAGTGGCGTTTTAAAGTTCACTTCCGGTTATAAAGTCGTAAATAAAAGTACAATCTGGGTTTAGTGGAGTATTTCGCGGTTTTATCTCGTAAGATTGCGCGAAAAAACGACCGGAATATTCTTTAAAACGGAGTTACGAAGCCGTAAACACGTGGGGGTGGAATTAATCGGTTTGATGGTCATCGGACTAATTTTAACTCGGAAGTGCGTCATCGGTAGCGTTTTCGACACCCCGTTTTTAACCGCAGCTGCGGCTAGAAGCATCCATTCCGATTACGAAAGCCGTTAAAGTAGGCTGCTTTAAGAAGGCGGCTTAGCTGTCATTTCCTGCTATGTAATTCTGATGTAGTCGTAACTGCTACGTCACGCCCTCAAGATATTTCCATATTCAGACATACTGGAGTAGGTCATGTGACAGTTTCGTTGCGGGGGGGAAGGGGGACGAAACTCATTAATGTGGCGTCGAGTGTTTGTGGCGATTTCGTAAATGTGTATCGTTTTTCTCGATCGGGAAACGATTAAAACGAATTGTTTTCATTCCTAATTTGAGGCTTGCCCGACTGATTTGTCACCAAAACTGAGTTTCTTTCGGAGGATGGGCGGATTATTAACGCAATAAAAATAATTTTGCAGCTTTTAACCTCATTATTTTTTTGTTTGCTTTATTTTATTTTATTTTTTTTTTGTTTTAATCTGGAAAATTCGTTATTATTTTTCCTTTTCTTCCTGTTTTAGTCTTAAATAAAGTGTAATGCTGGCCACATTTTAATGGAGTAATTCAGACAATAAAGATTTCTATCCTGCAAGGAGTTGTCAGTTTGCGTCTCATACGCATTCGGACGAGTTCTCCCACTTTGAGCCCAAATTGACTAATTACTAAGTTCATAGCCTGTCCGGTACGAAGCGGCGTACTTAAAATTGGTCGTTAAATTTTATAAATATTTAATTGTCTAGTTTATAGATGATAATTATCATGTACTGTTATACTCGGGGTAGATTGTAAGTCGCACTGTTTTTGGTTGTGAATGTGTTCTGGCTGTTTCTCCCTTCAGAATCGAATAATCTTATTACGGCGGGCTTAAAGTGGTGCATTGAGAGACTGATGCCCTTGAGTAAATTTATGGTGTAATTAATTAAAGTTAAAAGTTTTATCCAGTTATATTTGCAAGTAATGGTTAATTTTTGCAGTCATTGTCCTCAAGCCAAGCACACTGCAGTAGCCGACACACCTGAAATCAGAAGATTGGCAGAGAACACTAAATTGCAGAGTAATGTGAGTTATTTTAATGTACTTTTCAAAAATAAAAACAAAGTCGACGGGTGAACCCTCCTATCTTCTACTTTGGCTTGTGTTGGAAGGTCCATGGGTCTTACTAATTTTTCTGTACATTTAGCTGGGGTTTCTTCTATTGACTTAATTAAACAATTTTAACGATAAAATTACCCGTTATTGAAATTTCAGTAATGCGCCCTTTTAATAAGTTTCTCGCTTATGTTGATCTATTGGTAATCCAAATTTTTTATAAAATAGGTGAAATACCATGAGGATTTTGAAAAACAAAAGGGAAAGGTTACACAGGTTGCCGATGATCCTGAAACAGTACGTATCCGTAATACCTCAAAAATTATTAGTAATGTTGCCTATCACGGTGAACTTGAGAAGAAAAAGCAGATGGAACAAAAACGACATCTTGTGCCAGAAAAGAATGGTATACCGCATCCTGTGACAAATGGTATGCAGTTTTTTTCTTAATAACTTCTTTTTAGATGTATGTATGCATATATGAAAATGATAAACGTATGCGTTAAGAAGTCGGTCGGAGAGCGAAGGACGCGGTCTGACGTATCTAGGCCAGATCATCCTGAAAAAACCGGAGTTTTCTTAGCAGGCATATATCTTAGTCACATCAACTGTCTGGCTGTTGTTTTAAATATATTAAGATATTTGACTTTATACTGAATGAATTTTATAGGAGTTTTATTTCTATTCGTTGTTATTTATACATTCAAAAAATCCTAGAAGAGTTAGGAATTTTCACTTTGTTTTATGTAGGATCAAAGGATTGTATATTTATTCAATGGTACAACTTTAGGATTTATTCTAACAAATATATATTTTCTTGTTAAAGATTAATATTCAGGTTTTTAACACAAGTTCATTTTGTATATACAATTGAATTTGTCATTGTTTGCTACATTTTTAAAATGTTTTTCATTTTTATAAAATGAAATCCTTGATTATAAGGGGGGGGAAAATGTAAATTATGAATTTACATTCGTAATTATATCCATTTTTATCAGGTTTTTGTCTTTTGAATTTACGAAAAAAGTAATTTTCGGTCTTGTTAATAAACAAGTTTGTCCACATCAATTCTTAAAAAGTTTAATTGTGCTGTACGATATTTGTAAGTTATATCGGTACGGTATAATTATGGTCCACATATGTACTTTTATTTCGGAAACTAAAATATTTCTAACCAGTTATAAGCTTGCATTTTTTTTTTTTTTTTTTAATTATCTGGTTGAAATGTTTTTGTTGTTTACATTTGTAAATTATTCCAGAATCTTTCTATAAAAAGAATTAAGGGCATTTTTTATAAATAGAAGCTGATAAAACCGACTCTTGAAAGAAAAAATAATAATTTGGTTATCAAGTGGTTTTAGGCAATTTAAAATGGAGATTTAATCTGTCATTTTTTTTCAGAGTAATACATTACAGCTTCGTAAAGCCATTATTGATAGAATGTACAAGGATCTTTACTAATTTTATTATAAAAAATATTCTTGTGCATGATTGTTTCTGTAAGGTATTTACCATTTTCTTTTGTTTGGTGTACTGTTTCAGTTCTTTAGTTGTTTCTGGAGATCTTTTTATGTAGAAATATGTTTTGAAGAGAATTTAAAAGCTTAAAAGAATTTTATAAATATTTGTGATAAAATTAATTTAAAATAGCATTTTTTGAATGTTATTTTAGTCCTTAATTAACTGTAAGGAATGATGATGGGTGACCTTGAACCCATTCTACTGATTTTACCTGCTAGATAAACATTCTTCATCCATCTTCAAACTGTTTTTGATTTCCTGTGGAATATTTTCCTAAGACTGTTAATAAACTTCTTATCTGATGTTTCATAATTTTGATAGCTATTGAATTTACTTAGTTTTAGTGGCTTGTCTTTTCTAGTTTCGTCTAAAGTTTAATGAAGATTTTTCCCCTTGTAGATACTACTTTGATAAATGCCTTTACAGAATCATACTCTTAAAACTTGTCAATTTTATTCTTAATTTATAACCTGCAACTTATTTAGATTACTTGGTGTCTGAAGTTGTATCAGATTATCGTCTGTGAAGTTCAAACTTGAATATTACGAGAAATATGACCTAAATTTGCATTCTTGTTTACTCTGAGATTGTGACTGAGATATATGCGTGTCGACTCGAGAATGTAAATTTTATTAACATCCATTAAGAATTTGACTTTTAAATTGTCAAAGTTTAAAATTCGAATTATATTCTGTTTGAGTTGTACCAAAAAAAATCTTACAAAATAGTAGAATAATTCTTTACTATTTAACATTAAGTTTGAGGTGAATATACAGTATGTTGATTTGATATTAATATATAATTATCACATTGGAAATATTACAATACTTTTAGTTTTTTAAGAAATTCAGTAATTCTTTTGTTAGTCTGTAATTTTATTTTTAAGAATAGTTTAAGCAAAATTATTAGAATTAAAATTTTTATAGCTGGCTAGAATAAGAATGTAAGTTTGAGATACTAAATATTCTAAAATGTATAATGCTTTGTATTGACGGATTTAAATAATTTTATTATAAATTACTTGGTCGAATAAGCTCTTCAAGAAATAAATAAGAATCAATGCAAGGAAAAAGGTATTCTATACGTTCTTATTCTAACCAGTTTACAGTATTATAAAATTTTAATTAGAATATTAATTATTACCCAATTACTAATATTTATTCTAATCATATAACAAGAATGATTAAATTTCTTCCTTGGCTCCTATTATTACCAATAATAACACTTATCGTAACTTATAGCAGCCACTGCATCACCACCATCTCCCTCGCCACAACCACCAATGTCACCTTCAGGAAAGATAGCAGATTATGATCCCATGATACCCCCAGAAGCCCATGAATCTCCCTATTCCTCCAAACTTAGCTCTACTGTCATCTATACATCCCAAGAGGGACCAGGTATCGATTATGCAATGGAATAAAAATATTTTTGATTTTTTTATTTTTTTTCCAATAACACTTTACTCTTCTGACTTCTACCTCAGTCGTCCCATTTTATCCTATGTATTTGTTTTTATAATTTTAGTTAATTTAAAAAGATAATTTATTTTTATTTCTTTATATTTTTTGTTTTCTATGATGATTCACAGTTAACAGTTATCCCACACGTAAGATTGGTTCCATTGCCGATTATGACCCTCTAAACGAATCTCACGCAGCTGGTTACAGAACAGATCTATCAAATACTCCAATGTACTGTGGAGGTGAGATAAACCGAAACATTGACAACTCAGAAGAATTTTGAATTTTTTTTCTTTTGTTTTTTTATTTTGAAAGTGTTTTTGAGGCTGGGATTCTTGAGAATGCTTTATTTGAAACATTAGAAATGTAGCATTGATGCATTAATATATAGAAAACTTAAAGTTCATTTTCTTAAATGAAATATCAATAAATTAAGTTGCATTTAAATTTTCTGTATATATTACGACAAAATCTGGTAATTAAATATTTCTATATGTGATTTAATGATTACAATTTACTGGCTTTTTCTAATGTATCTGTAGTCTTTATACTAGTATGCAGGAAAACAACCGTGTGTAGTAAATTCTACTTATTGTAATCATGGATATTGTTATTGCTCATTTAATATCAAATAAAATTATCAATTAACGCGTTCCAAAACATTGAGTTAAAATACACTACAAAAATATCTCTTATTGTATTCAGAGTTTGATCATTTTCATTGGCTAAATTAGCCCCTGTAAGGTCCTTCTTCACGCCTGCCACAATTACAATCGGTTATTACAGTCTTAACCAGTGCTTTAACTGTTGTTTTCTCAAAATACAGTACTTTAAATTGCTGGAATTTCTTCAGTTATGTGCTAAATGCCATTAAAGGTAGTAACAGGCAAATGATACTGAATGGGTATTGCTATAATTAATAAATCTGTTATACAATTTTTTAACATGTCCTTTTAGTGTCAGTCAATATAGCCAGAGTTTCTGATGATTGTAGTTTTATTTACTTAGACCACTTAATGTTATTGATACAGACAAGTGCCCAGGTGTTACATTAAGCTGATTCTACTGTATTTGTAATTTATTATTCTCCTGCACTAATTTCACTAAATGATTACTTTACAACATTCAGAATGGTTTAAAATTTTGTTGTTTAAACTTTATTTAAATATTTTTGCCATACAATTTTGTATTTTTGTTTCAGAAGCTAACATTTAAGAGCAAACAGGATATTTTTCTAGTTTAATGTATTGAAATTTTAATACACGATGATAATATTATTTTACTGACATAGACTATTTCAATAGAATTTTTTGTTTGTCATTTAAATATTAAAGCTAATTTGTGTTATCAAAACTATCTATTAAAGTAGTATCTAAAATTTTATATTTTATTTAAAATAATTGAGAATATTGTTTAGAATAATTTTATAAATAAATTTATTGTCTATTTCTTCTCAGATAAGGGAAGATTTTTGAGATGACAAAGGATGATTGATTAATTTATAAAGTTACATAAACTCGGTGTTTTTTAATTAAAAAAATTTAATTTTTAAAGATTTAAATGTTCATAATTACTGCTTAAAATTCCCTGAAACGCTGCAGATTTCTTAAGCCATGCATTCGATAACTTGTTAATTTTTTATATTACTTATTAATATTTTAAGAATTCGTAATCAACACCTTAAGAGATTGATTGATTTATCTTTGTATTTATTGAGTTAAAAACTGGTTTAAAAGTTGGTTTTTAAGTACTTTCAAGCTCACATTACTGGAATTTAATATTAAAATTTAAAAATTTAACATGGTGTAACCCATCATAGGCTTGCTCATGATATTGCGTAATCATTAGTAATAAATGCACTTTTGTTAGCCTTTCAAATCTTTTGAAGTCAGACTTAAAATTCAGATGAAATTGTGGAATTAAAACTTCATTTTGCATAGAAAACAAGTCTTTATTTTAATATGAATCGCTGGTGTTGCATTTTTAATACATCATTTTGGCATTTTTTTGAATCCCAGCCTAGTTTTTAGTTTTATAACAACTCTTGACAAATGATTAAAATTAACCGCACCATTCTCATGATTTCAACATGCAATTTTTTGATAATTGAATAACATTTTTTGATATGAAACCTTGAAATCGCATGCATTACAATAGAGATTGTATTAACTGTTTGTAAATATTACACGTTTGAGTTTTCTTATACAAATAAGTCTAAAACACTAAAATGTTTTCTTAATAAACATTCTGAATATATCTTTAAACTATTTTATTTAATATTTTATGATTAGAGACCTAAATAATAGTTTTTTTTATTTTATTTTACATTAATTTTATTTTAAATTGACCAATAACTGATGGGAAATTCTGGATTAAGTCTGAGATAACCATATTAAATTTGTACCTGGTGGCTTTGGTGTATTGTGCATACATATGTTGTTGAGACGTTACTTTTTAAATGGGCATCAGTGAGTTAAAAAGGCAGCTGAAACTGAGTTGTTTTGGAAAAAGACAGGAAATGCATGTTGCCTGGAATTTTGTATCTTCATTTAAATAAAAAAGTTTGCTCAAGTCTAGCATCTGTTTAGTAAAACTGCAGTGTGGTTATTGGACAATTTAAAATATATTAATAGTATTATTTATAAAATATCTTAATATCAATAAATTATTTTAAAAAACAGCATTTATGACAGTTTACAGAATATTTAATTTATGCAGTAATTATATTTGATAGTTCACATTACTGTGTACTCTTGCTAATCCAAACTCGTCTTATCCAAGCCAATTTTATTCATTCTACCATTAAATTTTTTAGTCAAATATAAAAAAACTGCAAATTATTTTTTAGAACATGAAAATTTGTGAAATTAATATGTACTACACATTTCAACTTAAATATGTATCAAATACAGTATAAAAAATTATAAACTGTGCATATATTTGTCTCTCGTCCTTTTTTCACTTCCTTTTCTTTATGTATAACTTCTCAAATTTGAAGAATCTTGTACAGTAACTAGTTCGGATTAGCAAGTGTGTGCTGTAGCAGCGGATATCTATACTAATATTATAAAGAGGTAATGTTTGTATGTATATATGTATGTTAGTTTGTATGCAGCAGGTAATCTCCGAAACTACTCATCCGATTTCAAAAATTTTTTACCAATATTTAGAATGGAACTTCAGGGTGGACATATGCTGTATATTATTCCGTTAAACATGGGGAATGGACAGTTCTTTACGGTAAGCCTTCCCCGTAAGGCTTACCGTAAAGAACTCTGCTTCTATTTATACTATTTTAGATGCGGTTTTTTGCATTTTTGATTGCATTTTAATAGGGTACGTCAACAGAATGTACACTAAGAAGGCATTTTTCGATATTCCCCCCGCGGGGGAGAGGGACAGGATTAAGGCTTACTGTGAAAAACTTGGCTTCTATTATACTATTTTAGATGCGGGTTTTTGCGCTTTTGATTGCGTTTTAATAGGGTACGTCAAGAGAATGTACACTAAGAAAAAATTTTTTGAAAAATTTTCCCCCACGGGGGAAGTGTTATACATTTATAATAGATACATTTTGAGCCACAACAAGGCGTGGTGGGGTCTGCTAGTAAAATTATAAACAAAATAAATTTATGAAATTGTCCATTATAAGAGTCACTTTTAAGGTTTTGTAAATTGTAGAGTTCAGTCTGTTTAATGTTCTTTCCATTTATTTTCCTTTTTTGACTGTGTGAAAAGTTTTCTCTACTTAATAGACTGTGCTCTGATACATATGTATTATTGATCTGTAGAAAATACATAATATAAAAAAATATACACAGGATTATAAATAATCCTGTGTAATATAAACATAAGAGCTGTATTACAGTAATTAGATTTTAGTATTCATTTTAAAAAGTAAAAATTAGGAACCAACAGTAGTTGCTATAAAGATTTATTTAACCTGATGTTTTTGAATGGAGTATTTCTTTGAATGTCAGATGTGTGTGGTGTAGCCAGATTTTGTAAATAAAAACAGAGATACAACACCGGTAATATCCAGCAAATAAGATAATTTTATAAATAATAATTTATTGTGACAATGTCAGGCTGCAATTTTTAATCATATTTTTTATTTATTTAATTTAAAATATATGCTCTCCACATCAAATTAGTAGTGGCTTGACCCTGTACATCATACTTTTCCTGCTAGCAAGGGTCATGTCGATCATCTAATAGAAATATGTTAAAATGTATTTTACTTAACTTTTCACTACATATACTGAATTTCATAATAAAAATAGCTATTGTTTGTATTAACAGTTAGAATTATCCCTGTGCATTCACAAGTTGATCATTTGACATCTGCAAAAACATGAATTTGTGTATATCACCCCCACATAAAACAAGATCATATTGTATTTTATTTAGTAGCCAATACTGTAAATCAGTGTTTCTCAACCTCTAACGAATTGTTGCCCCTTCAACGTAGTATCGCCCCCTTCAATAAAACCGTTACATAGTATTGCCCTCTTCACTACAAAATTCCCATGCCGAGGGACAAGGCTAACGCCAAATTTGTACTACATTGAATAGACTAGTGACTAGTATAATGTTATTTGTTTAATTATTGTTTTATAAAACTTTTAATAAGAGCGTAGAAGCTAANAAATACATAATATAAAAAAATATACACAGGATTATAAATAATCCTGTGTAATATAAACATAAGAGCTGTATTACAGTAATTAGATTTTAGTATTCATTTTAAAAAGTAAAAATTAGGAACCAACAGTAGTTGCTATAAAGATTTATTTAACCTGATGTTTTTGAATGGAGTATTTCTTTGAATGTCAGATGTGTGTGGTGTAGCCAGATTTTGTAAATAAAAACAGAGATACAACACCGGTAATATCCAGCAAATAAGATAATTTTATAAATAATAATTTATTGTGACAATGTCAGGCTGCAATTTTTAATCATATTTTTTATTTATTTAATTTAAAATATATGCTCTCCACATCAAATTAGTAGTGGCTTGACCCTGTACATCATACTTTTCCTGCTAGCAAGGGTCATGTCGATCATCTAATAGAAATATGTTAAAATGTATTTTACTTAACTTTTCACTACATATACTGAATTTCATAATAAAAATAGCTATTGTTTGTATTAACAGTTAGAATTATCCCTGTGCATTCACAAGTTGATCATTTGACATCTGCAAAAACATGAATTTGTGTATATCACCCCCACA